TATTTTTCTAAATTGTTGTTCCTGAGTGCTGCACAGTATTCCATTGTGTGACTGTACCAGAATTTCTCAGTCCAGTTAGTTGTGTTTGAACATTTGGGCTGTTTCCATGTTCTTGCGATGGTGAGTAGTGCTGCTTAGCATCCTTCTTAAAAACAGATCTGAGCCTTGCCCTTTTCCTGTATCATCCTCACAGGTCAAGCCCGTTGTTGCTTTCATCGTGTCAGTCCGTGTTGTTTAGGGTCTTTCTCATTCTCTGACCTTCCACCTTTCCCAGCATCCGGTGCGCCTGATACAGGCCATGGTATTTTCAGTTGCTTCCTATGCATCTGAAAGTTGTGTAATGAATAAAGATGATGGAAGAACCAATGTCTTTGAACTGTGGTGTTGGATCAGAGTGCTGAATACTCATGAGCTGCCAAAAAAACAAACAAGTTTATCTGGAAGGAAGTGCCACAAGGGTGCACATGAGAGACCTGGATGATGCAAGTTGGTCTTATATTGGGGCATGTTGACAGGAGGAGACAGTCCTTGTTAAAGACGTCATGTTGGGAAAGGTAGAGGATCAGAAAGACCTTCAACAAGTTGGATTGACCTAGTGACTGTAACAATGAGATGGCGAGGATGGTGCAGGATAGGACATAATTCAGATCCATTGCTCAAAGGGTCACTGTGATTTGTAGTCAACCCACCAGAACAACAGTGATTCTTCGGGAGAGCTGGTGGAGTTGTCAGTGCTTTCGCTGCTAACCCAAAGGCAGTGACTCTTTAGCTGTATTGAATCCTCCAGCAGCTCAGAGGGAAGAAGATACACAGTCTCCTCCCACACACTTTACACCTTCTGTAAACCAGGGCGATGAATCAGTTCTGACTCAAAGCCAGTAAGTTTTGAGATTGTAATTAATATTATATAATCAAATTGTGTATGAATGAATGGAAAATTGATTTATAAATTTTGACACAAATCATAATTTAAAAGCAAAAAAGAACAAGTTCCAGCTAAACTAAGATTGATTTTTGTTCATGGTTGTGGGCAACAGACTTGAAGTTGGAGGACAAATGTGATGTTTTCATTTTCCATGATTATTTATTGTGTCACCTTTAAGAACCTCTACTCCTATCCGTTCAGGATAGGTTTTTTTTTCCCTTAAGAAGTGTAACTGAATAAAAACACTTTTTAAAATCTGAAAGAAATCTCATAGAGATTGTATACTGACCTTGAATTGGAAGAATTTACTTTTGAGCAAGGAATACAAAATAAACTTACCTTGTGCTTTGATTTAGCTCCTGAATAGAACGGTTGATTGGATGATGTTGAGGCTGTTGAGTCAGCTCACCAGTGTCCCTTTTCTTTTTTTTTTAAGATCTTAAAGCTTATAAAGAACTTGGATTTCCATTCATTCATTGTTGCACATTTTCCTCCCTGCCCCCTCCCCCCTAGTTTGCTTTTTTCTGGGGAAAAAAGTTCTTTCATTGTTATACAATGCTCCCACCACCCCAACCACTTTATTCTGGACTCTTGTCATGCCAGTAATACCTAATTATATATTCCTTTTATACAGTTCTCATTCTTGTTTTGATGCCATGTACATTATTTATCCTTTCTTTTCTTAGTTTTCCCTGCAATCCCCATTTCAGTCCAGTTCTGTAACGGTGGCATTACGCAGCACGTGCCTTTTTGTGACTGAGATATTTCACTCAGCTTAATGTCCTCCATGGTCACCCATTTTGTATAATATTTCATGAGTTCTTTGTTTTTCAGTGCTGCTTAATACTGCATTGTGTGTGAATATACCACAGCTTCACTATCCATTCGTTTGTTAATGGGTACGTGGGTTGTGTCCAACTCTTTGCTATTGTGGACGAAGTCACAATAAACATGAATGTGCATATATCTGCTTGGGTGGCAATTGTGGTTTCTTTGGGGTATATTCCCAGTAGTTGAATTGCTGAGTCAAATGGTATTTCTATTTGCAACTTTTTGAGAAATCACCATAATGCCTTCCTAGTGGTTGCACCATTTTACACCCCCACCAATAGTGATAGTGAGATTTCCTTGCATGTAGTTGGTTAGGGCTTTTATCATGAGGGAATAGTCCTTTGAAAAAGGATGTAACTCTTGGAGATGTAGAAGATCAGCAAGAGAAGAAGGCTCTCCTTTATTGGGATGGCCTGGCACCGTGATTGAGCAGTGGGCCAAGCACAGTGGAGAGTGTCGGGATGGTATTGAATTGAGCAGGGTTTTATTATATTGTATATAAAGTCACAGTTTCTTGATACAGATGCCATTATTCTTTATCCTTATTTATAATTCCTTGTATTGCAGAATCCTTGCTGTGCTTTTAAAAGCCAAGTAGCAAATGGTCTCTTTCGTTCCCCTTTCTTCACAGTTTTGGGGAATTTTGCCTGGTTCATCTGTTACTGAAGAGGAATCCCGTCATGTTCTTCCAACACTTCATTGAATGCATTTTCCATTTCAATAACTATGAGAAGCATGAAAAGTATAACAAGTTTCCCCAGTCAGAAAGGTCAGTGAATCCTCTAAGGTGCTCTTTCAAGACTTTCATGACACTCAGCAGATGGTCAGCTGTGTTTGGACAGTGGTTAGATGCAGTCTCTAACCTAGGAGTCTTTCTTTCCCTGGCAGGGGAGGACTGGTGAGAATGCATGCCCAAGGGTTACTTCTGGAATGAACATTAGCTTATTGAATGTGCTTTGACATACAGCATTTAGGATGCTGTTACAGTGCTTTGTAACTGCTCTTTTTACCCATGTCCACATGATGTAGTGAAATTGTCCTGTTTTCCCACAGAGAAAAGCGGCTCTTTTCACTGAAGGGAAAGACAAACAAAGAGAAGCGAATGAAAATCTACAAGTTTCTCCTTGAGCATTTTACAGACGAACAGCGATTCAATATCACTTCTAAAATCTCCCTTAGTATTTTAGGTAGGCCTGTGTGTTTGGAATAAAATGTGTATTTAAGAGTAAAATTCCGTGTTGAAAATGGACCCAGCCAGTGTGTCGTAAATGTGCACCCCTATGCATGAAGACCCTACATTTGTTCTTCACCTGGTGGCCACAGCAGATACTGCTGCAGCCAGATGAGCCATCTGCACAATTGCATCCCACTCCCCTGGCATCAGTTGAGGTTCCCAGAGGCTAATCTTTTGTTCTTTCTTCCGTTGTGTTTTCTCTCAGCGTACTTCGTGGATGGCATCCTCCCCCTGGATATGGAGGCCAATGAGTTACTCTCAGATACATTTGAAATTCTCAGCTCAAAGGAGATCAAACTTTTGGCAATGAGATCTAAGCCTGATAAAGACCTGATAGAAGATGATGACATGGCTTTGGCTAGTGTAGTCATGCAAGAAGCACAGAAAAAGCTCATCTCACAAGTGAGTGTTAGGTCTTTCCTAAGATTGTGTGTGATGTTACACTGCTAACTCCATTAGCCCTTCAAGTATTGGTGGGGTACCCACAATTCTGATTTCATTCCTACCGGTCAGTGCCTTTAATTCAAGGATGGTGATTATTTTCAAGCCCCCATTTCTAGCTACACCATCTCTGTAAACCTTTCAGTTGTATGCTGGGATGTACTCCAGGAATCTCAAATTTGTGTGTCAAAACACAGTGTGTGTAATCTTCACTTCCTCCTAAATCTCCTCCTCCCCACTGCTGCCCACATCCCAAGGGAAACAAGGAAACAAAAAGAACATGACTTAATTTGCTTTGTGCTTCTCCTATAGTCTCTTTTGTGGAGAATCAAACCAATGTCCCAAAGTTGCCCAGAAGAGAAACCCAGTACTGTTCAGACCAGCATTTGTGCTCAAGTATAGGCTTTGCTTGGCTAATGGGTGTAGATAGATAGATTCGATTACTTTAGGTAGACATCTTCATTGTCATAATCCTCACCAGCCCTTACCTGATTCCTGAGCTTTACGTAGATGGTTAATTTATACTCCCCACTTGCCCTTTGTGAAGACAAAGATTCTCACCACTGGACCAATCGGCAGCATCAGGATGGATGGTGAAGAGATTGAGATTGTAGACAGCTTTAGTTTGCTTGGCTCCATAGTTAACAGTCTTGGCACCAGCAGCCAGGAAATTAAAAGGCGCATTGCCATGGGAAAGTCTGCTGTTAGGGACCTCTCCAAAGGGCTGAAGGGCAGTGGT